AGGTGAATGGAGAAAATCCTCCGGCTCGACATTTAGATGAGAACATGGCCCGACATTGTTCAGATGAACAGAGTCCGAGTCCGAATAGTTATCGATTTCACGGGAAAGAGAACCGGAGACGGGGTCAGAAACAGGGTCGAGGTTGGAATCTAAGAAGATAAAGAATGGCAATCAAGAAAAGTTGTCAGAAATCGCGATTCAATTCAAAGAAAAGGGTCAACAAAATAACCAGGATGACATGGAAAGTGTCCCGACAACGGGAAGAAGGGAGAAGAAACGGGAAGAATCTTTCCCATGACGATTCGACTCGACAAGGGAAGATCGAGACGAAAAAGGAAAAAAGCCGATCTCTCACAACAAAACGACTAACAGAGAAAAACACTTGAAGGAAATACAAAACCTACAATCAAAGATCTAAACGGAAAAATCGCCAGAAAGCTCACACGCAATTCCCAGAAAATGGAAGATATTCTTATTTCCAGACAAATTACCCAGAAAAATAAAAAAGTGCTCTTATCTTGAACATATGAAAACAAGTCGAACAGACAAAGGAAACTTACTCATACTCATGATGCTTGATGGAAAGTCTTGAGAAATCGGAAAAGGATGCCGGAGAATAGGAGCGCCGGAAAGCTGTGGTTGCCGAAGGAAAACAGAGAATTTGAGGGAGATGAGTGCGGAAAGAAGGGACGAGAAAAGATGGGGATTACTTATAGAGAAGGCAAAGAAACCCCAGCCCTCGGATTAAAGTCGACGGCCCAGACAATGGGCGTCCTTGCTAAATCTATATCCGTAGCAATAAAGGAAAATTCGGGTAAAAAATCACCTAGAACTATGCAGGTAACAACTATAAAGGCTACCATTATTCGGATAGAATTAGGGGTGAACTGGTTTATTGGTACATCGAAAAGGTTACTTAGCGATTGCAGTTCGGGTTGAATCGGGAAGCGCAGGCCCGACATTATTTGGTCCACGAAAAAAGTAAAACAGCCCTTGGGAGGGTGACGAATATCGTCTTCGGGCTTAGGAGCCACTACAGCCCAGTCCGCGGGAAGGCCGCTGAACT